TTGTTGGCAGTATCTTAAACCAGCTGCAGTATGAGATAGGTTATATACCCAGATAGGCTATTAAACTATGAGCAATTCAAATAAATACCCTGATGTATCCAATGATGGTTTTGCCTTTGCAGACTTGGGACACATCATTTTTGCTGATCTTCCTCAGCTATGTAACCCCCATGTCCCACCCCTAGAAGACCCTTCAGCACAGAATGGGATACACTGTGGAAGGACTACAGTGGGGAAAGGGGACTAGCCAAAAACTAAAATACCCTGATTTGTGCTAGCAGAAGGCAACAACATTTTCACCTGCCCATTTGGCTGAGTTGCCACTCTAGGTGGCTTCCAACACAGATAAAAACATAATATAACATCAAACATTAAAAACTTCCTGATGCAGGGCTGCCTTCAGATGTCTTCTAAAAGTTGTGTAGTCCTTTATCTGCTTGACATCTAATGGGAGGGCTTTCCACAGGGTGGGAGCCACTGCCGAGAAGGCCCTCTGCCTGGTTCCCTGTAATTTCACTTATAGCAATGAGGGAACCACCAGAAAGCCTTTGGAGCTGAACCTCGGTGTCCAGGCTGAATGATGTGGGTGGAGATGCTTGTTCAGGTATAGTCATGATTGGATGTAAGCCAGCTGTGAGAAAATTCCTGACACTTGCTCAAGTCAATTTGAGTATTGCCAATGCAACTGAAAGGACACATAATTCTTCTTCACCTTTTGTCTCTTTCCTTCTCTCTCATACACATACACACAGTGCCAGAATATTTGTATGATCATCAACACTACTTTGTGAATGGTCCACTGTGCTTAACCTACATACATTAATGCTTTAACAGAATTATTAGAGTGAGATGGAGATACAATATATATATATATATATATATATATATATATATATATGCATTTTCTCACTGATCTCATAGTTGTTGATTCCTCTTTCTGCACTCATGTAAAACTCTGTCAAATTACGATAAGCATGCTTTCGATGAGGTGGACTTTGGGTCCAAACATATGTGACAATAATAGTCTACCTATCCACATAAGCACTATTTCATGTAAGGTAATATATGCTTTCAGTGGCATTAACATGTAACATATCTAGAAAGCTCTGGTCCATTAAAGGTTCATGGCGATATTTAACATTAAGCTCACAAGATCTCCAGGCAAGTCAAAGGGACTTCTCAAACACTTGGAATTAAGTACATCATTTGATTTTGCAGGGTGATGCTGACCTGGGATACTCAACATGATAAAGACAATAAGTATTAACACTGTGGACTGCTAAACTGCTTTCCAGTGTATTACATCAGTCAGTTTGCTGACTGATGTTTTTAGAGCTAATTAGTATTTCATAACTACCATTTCACTATGAGAATGTAAACACAATATTATCTGAGTTCAGGAGGAGAGCTATTTGCTATTTTGTGATGATCACACTTCTAAAAAGTGGGGAATTTGTTCAAATGCTGAACGTTGCAGGAAATTCCATGTTGTGTTTGTTTTCCATTCATTTAAGAACTCCAAAGATATTCAGCTACATTAGAGAAACAAAGTTGATAGCTCTAACAATGACCTCTAAGAATGAGGTCTTATTCCTTTCAATAAAATAATGTTTATAACACACATACACTCACACTCACACTCTCTGTAGACCTTGGATGATCTCTGGGTACAAGGTAATGAATGGGTTGGACTCAGACTTGGTATTCCATTTGCAGAAGAGCTCTTTCCATTTGTGGAAGGTCTTAAGAGCCAGCGGGGGCTCCAGCTTTAGAAAAGGATAATGTGATTTTCCCCAATTTTCACCACTTCAGGTCTCAGTGCCACTTTAATGATAAGTGTTCTGGAGGTCACCAAACCCTCTTGTGGCATTGGGAGAATTCCCCTTATGGAAATTCTGGATCCCATCCAGATACCTTCTTTTTTTAACTAGCATATTCCACAGTATTCACCATTCTGGTAATTGCTCAGATATTTTGATGTTACTGGGCATACTCACTTGAACTCAGAAAGCTCATTGACAATGCTGATATTTCTGCCACCATCTGGGATAAGAATCTGCTACATGGTACAGACTGAAGTATTAAAGGGACTAAGGATATGGCTCAGAGCAAAAAGCATAGGTAGTATTGAGACACAGAACAAAGTGAAACTTAGTACAGTTTTATTCTGCTGTTCCATGTGAGTTTACCATCAAAAGCACAATTTTGATAAAGCAATGAAAATTAGCATTTTTTAAAAGAATAATTTTGCCTCTTGCGCAGCTGTTCACTCAGAACTCATTCACACATTAATGTTTCACCCCTGATACCCTGTTGCTTGATGACTGCTAGTCTCAGCTAACTGTGTGAAGTTTATTATAAAATATTGTACAGTATTTGAATTAAACTGTATGCTATGAAAGCTCTCTGTGATGACTGATTGACACATACAGTCAGTACCTGACCCTTGACAAGTGATATGGTAGCTTTTGTATGAGGTTGAGTACCTTAAGCTACCATCCTGTTACCAAAGCATAAGCACCACTGAGCTCAATGGGATTTACTTCTGAGCAAGTATTAGTGCAGTTAAAATGAAAGGGGGGGTACATTAGACATAAATTCCACATTTGTTGATGAAGTGTGGGTGGGCAGTTCATTGGTTTCTGAGCTGCTGCGGTGAAAGATAGACAGAGGAAGTTGGCAGTCTAAGCGCCCAAGTGATAATTTCAGGAAGTACTGAATTTGGTGGTGTATCTCACTGCAGAAATTTACAAAGTAGGGGGAAAGAGATGGTAGATGACTCATACTCCATCCAGTCAAGTGTACAAACCCGATTCTACCATATAGGATGAAGGAAAAATTGAGGGTTAAATTTTGCAGTGGCAATTTCCTTATACTGGACTTTGTTTCATTTGACTTTAGGTAAAGAAGCAAAGAAAGATGCATAGTCAGTTGATTCATTTTGATAAGTTTTCATGCAAAAAATATAGCAGAAAATGTGAAAATGTAAGCAATTTCCGATTTGGTGGGTTTTAATTTTTTATGTCCTGAGCACTGAAAGGGAAACAAAGAGTTAACATGTTATCTCTATATTGGCTGTGTGTAAAAAACTGCTGGCTCTCTGCTCAGTTGGTTTGTAACATCTCAACGGGATATTTGGGGAATTTCCCCCATGTCCTTAAAGACTTTGAAAAAGAAAAGCCAGTTCTAGCAGGCAAAAATTGCTCATTTCCTATTGATCCATGCTGTGAGTTGCATAATATTACATATACATTATGTAACAAAACATAAAAATTCTGGATTGCTCTACTTTATATTAAGCCTATTCCATACAAACATACCTCGGACTTGGGAGTAAGTCATTGAATTCAACAGGCCCTAATTATGTGCAGGCAGCACCGGATTGCAATGCACATATAGGTATACTGCAAACCTTCAGCACACAAGCAGTTCTTGGGAAGGCTAGCAATTGAATATACAAATAATACAGTCAATCAATAAAAATCAGTAGTATAATAAAGGACAGGAGAAATAGCACAATCAATCAATGGGGAGAGCAAGTAAAATAACTACAGTGGTTTACAGATGGAGGAATAGAATAGACACTGCCTGGCACCAAAAAGGTAAGACATATGTCAGCTGAGATGTCAGATGTCAGCTAGGGGTCCTGTTTGTGAAGGCAGATGAGATGAGTCATATTTGAAGTACTGTACTCCAGATAAATAGTTCAGTATATTTAAAAAGAAAACCTCAGCCCATCAAGATACTATGCCGTTTTCTCTCTGGTGGACTAGTTTACTGAATGCAGGGTGGGTTTTTTGTTTGCTTTCCCACAAAAGACTATTTTATTATGCAGATTGTGACCCCCTTAATCACATTATCTTGTGACTTGGGAACCATAACAATGTGTCTCCTTCCTGCATTGTAAACATAATTTCAGGTGACCCTGAAGCCCCAGTTGTGGGGAGCCACAGCTCACAGGAATCCTTCCACCATGTTTTCTTTAATGATTTCCTAGGCTACCTTTGCAGGCAAGGGTTAGGGTTAGGGTTTAACCCACATCCTTGATGCCTGGAAAGATTCTGTCGTCTAACAAGTCCAGGTTCTGAATGCGTCACTGAATGGAGAGTGAAAAGCTCCACCAGTGCTTCTTAGTCTCTCTCTTCGTTGGCAAGTCTTCTCTTGACAAGCAGGGCATCTTAGCAGCCTCTCAGCCTAACCTACCTCAACAGGTTGTTGTGGGGATTATATGGGGGTGGGGGCAGAATCATGTGCACCACATGGATCTCCTTGCAACGAGTAAATAAATACATGTAGAGCAGCCTCCCATCCCTGGAGCGCATAAGGTTCCAGGTTCATTCCCTGCTGCCTCCAGTTTTGAAAGGAGCAAATGCTCTACCAGCCTAGGCAGACGAAACGGAGTTGGGCAGCCACGTTTTGCGCAGCTTGGGCACAAACTTACGCAGACAAGTCTTAAGCGTCTTCCTCCCCACCATGCAACGTAAACTGCCTAAGTCTCCTTGCTTTTTCCCTTGGGTGGGGAATAACCGCTCCGCTTCTGACAGAGTCGCCTTCCCTGCTCCCGACGGGCTGGCTTCTCCTTCCCTCACCCTTTTCCCCAGGGATAGCTCAGTCGGTAGACTCTCCATCTCCGGGTCGTGGGTTCGAGTCCTCAGGGAATTGGACTAGATGACCCTGGTGCTCCCTTCCAACTCTACAATTCTAGGATTCTTCCCTCCCGCCGGCCTGAGCGAGTGGGGGACGCGAGAACTCGCTTCCGGGCACGCTTGGCGCTCCCTCCGCAGCGGCGCTTGCTACCAGTTGCTGACCCTGGCGGCGGCCGTGCGCTGTCACTACAACGCCGTCTGCTCCCGGGGCCGTCTGCAGCTGCCCGCTCCCCCCCCCCCGGCTTTATGCAAATGAGGGCAGAGCTCGGGCTGACGTGAGGAGAGAGGCGGGACGCGCGCGCTGGGGCGGAGTGGCGGCGGGGAGGGAGCGAGCGAGCGAGCAGCTGCCGGCTTCAGTGCCTGAGACTCGCGGGAAGGGGAAGGAGCTGGTGCTGTCCACTGCGCCGCTGGTGCTGAACCCGGGAATCCCGCCTGCTCGCTCGCTCCGCTCCTCAGCCCTCTTGGCCCCGCCCGCCCCGGAAGGCGTCCCGCCCCCCTCGCTTGCCACTCCGCCCCCCTGGTCAGAAGCAACTTGACCAAGGAGCTTACCGGACGTAAAGGAGGTTTTCTCTCTCTCTCAGTCCCGTGCTGTGTTCCTTGATGCTCAACTAAACGTGGACATTTCTTCGGAGTTTTGCCTACCCCAGATTATTGGGATCCTCCTTCCCTCCTCCCCCCCTCTTTTGCAACCTTTTGCATTTTGGACTTTTCCCCCTCCCCTTTGGTTCCTAAAGCAGAACACCTAAAAAGGAAGAGAATATATATCCACGATCCTTGCGACTAACAGGACATAACATTCTCCCCCTGCTTCCCTTTGGGGACTTTAGTGACTCTTCGATCAGGTAAGAGCGAAGGGGGATCTGGCTTGTGACAAATGCAAGCTCCTTTTGGCATTACCGTGGCTAAGGAAGCGGGTAGAGTTTGGGGGCGATGCCAAGGGACGGGGGAAAGTTGCGAGCCTGTTAGTCCGCTGCTTAATGTAAAGAAGGACGGGGCGGGGGGGGCGACATTTCGGCGGCTCTGCTCAAGATCTTCGTGGGCATAGTAAACAAGAGATGAATGCTGAATGAAGCCCGGGAGGCGGATGAGGTGGGGTGCTCGTGGCAAAGTTTTCCGCACACGCTTCTTCTGGTCGTGGTCTCGGGGCTTTTGAACAATGTTATTTCGCCTTGGAAGGGGAGATCGAGAGGTGTAAGCAGGCAGATTGATTTCCGTTCTTGTTGTTCTTGGTTTTAATTAAAACGCGTTAAAGAAGCTCCTCCGAAGAAACGACGGCGTTAGAGGGCGAGTAGATTTCTCATTGATTCCGACGGGAGAGAAGAAGGGGGCAGAGAGGGGGGTAGGATGTGAGGTCAGTCTGGGAAGCAGCGAGCAAAGCAGGAATTAGAGAGGATTTGTGGAGGAAATGCCTGATGTGCCCTGCGTGCGTGTGTGTGTAAGAGAGAGAGATCAGGCGTGATCCTTAGAGGTTGTGGAGGATGACGATGATCACAATCAGCCAGATCTGCCTGATATGAAACTTACGAAACTCGGTTTTACAAAGGACTTGACCCCTCTGTTCCCAAGGTCAGCCCCCAGGATTGAAAGTTCCCAGTTGTCTGTTCCACAGTATTGATTTGGTCAATGTCAGGCCTTCCCTCCAGGCTAGAAGTAGATGCAAATGTGAAGCTCCAGTTTAACAGCACAGTAGTATTACGTCTGGTGTTACAGATCCTCTCCTGTTTGGAAAAGAACTGGGGAACGTAGGCAGATGGAAATGTATCACTTTCCCACCCAAGTTTAACCTTTGGCAAGCCCTTCTCTATTCCAGGGATCTGCTAAGGTAGTTACTATGAGTTGCCAGACTTCTTTCTATACATAAACGAGAAGAAGCTGGGGGGTATTTACTATGTGAGTTAAATGCTGATTCTGGAGTGAAAATTTTATAGCCAGTTGGGAGGGAGATGACTGAACTGAAATGGGAAAGCACATTATGTTTCAGCCTGTATTGCATCATGTTGCAGATCACTCGATTATCTGAGAAAATGTTTTTTTCTTTACATTCTAGAACCATAAGATATCAGTGACATTTGTATTATATCTGGTGTCCAGCATTTCCCCTATCAATCTCTCTCTCTCTCTCTTTAATGTTTGGTCTGGAAAGAATGAGCAGAGCAATGGCAGTTATGTTCCAAAGTATCATTAGTATTTCTTTACTTTAAAATTCTTTATTTAAAGTTGAACTGTGATGTTATAGTGAACATCTGCTAACATAATGCAGAGTTTTTCAGCAATTCAGAAATAGTGGGAAGTAAGATAAGCAACTGTTAGTAGGGAAAAGTTTTGAAAGCTAAACTCTAGTATTATGCTCATTTAATATTGAAATTTTAGCTTGAAAAACAATGAATTCAGTTCCTTCCATTAATCAGTTATTCCCCTTGATTACTTTAGGAGTAAGTGTAAAACATGCTGTGTTATGATTTACAGTCTAATGACTGCACACAAGTCTATTTCCAGGGTATTATATACTTCTTTATTAGTGTAAAAAATAAATGAGCATTCTCATATGATCCCTTTCCTCAATTTGGGTATGAAGGAAGGGGATATGAAATGCCAGGATATCTGTTTTCAAAATATGTGAAGAAAACTATCATTAGTAACTATGGAAATGAAGAAAAGCATTAAGAGCTAGCTCTCTTGCAGTGCCAGGATAGACATGCAGAGGGCCTGAGCTTGTAAACATGTTTTTATATAATAATAAATGCATCCATGCAGATATTCTGGTTAAATGTTTCACGTACATATATACAGCTGTAAATGAATATGTCTTTTGCTGTTAATATAATCCAGAAAATGGTTTACAATCAGAGCTTCCCAAACTTCATGTTGGTGACACACTTTTTAGACATGCATCATTTCGCGACACAGTAATTCAGTTTTGGAAACAAACCGGAGCTTAAACTAAGCCCTTATAAAAGCATTCCCCCGACACACCTGCACACTGCACCCAACACACGTCTGATCGACATCGTAGAAAGTTGTATATATCCAACTTGGAAAGAGAACTTAATATTCTTTGGAATCCCAGAAGACATGGACTAAGTTACTTCTTCAGTCTCTGCTCCAAGTCTCTTCCTTATGAGAAAATGGTTCCACTGTTCGGACCACAGCTAATATAAAGATGGGGAGGGTGTGTGCACCATCCTGAGCTCTTTGGAGAAAAGGTGTGATATGAATATAAAATATTAAAAATGCATATTCTTCACATGATAGTTGCAACATCAAGTGATGAGTTGCAAGTGTAAATGGGCCATCACAGATACAACACAGTAATACAACTTGAATTTTGTACCATATCATCTCAAGCATCATGCTTTTCAATAGCTAGTTCACAGCTGCCAGCCACCATGTACAGCAACCAAGTGATGGCTAATGAAGGCCCTAGTCCTAAACACTTTTAACTGAATTTAATCCTTTTTGATTAATACAGAATATCCAAGCTTGTGCATTTAGGACTGTAGGCCTTGTTAAAATGGCAATCTTAGAGTACCAACTGATCTAAAATAATATACCTCCCTTTCACAATGGACTTTCTGCAATCTTCAGTGCAGTTTTGAACTTCATGATTGGGATTCTCCTTAGCCCTATCAAGTTGTTACAATGTGAGTACACAGTAGTTGTGTGTGTGTAGCCCTTTCCTCATCACATGGCTCCTTCCAGCAAATATTTAATCTTTCATGGTTCTAAGTTACATAGGAAACCTACATTAGTAGAGGAGAAGTTGGCTTCTCAACATGTGGAAGGTGATATTCCCTGTAATAGGGGTGTGATGATGGTTTCTGAGTGCAATTTAAAGTGCTGGTTCTTTCCTTTAAAGTTCTAAACTGCTAAATATCTAAATACCCAAATGACTGACCCTTGCCACACCAGCCTGCTTGTGTCCTGAAGCAGGAGAGACCATGCTTCAGTTAGACCTGCCTGAATATTTGAGACCTGCAAAGGATACCATGTTGGTGGTTCCATCACTATGTTGAGTGCAGGAGTAGTGGTACATGAGATGGCCTTCTTTGTGTGGCCCCTAGGTTGTGGAATGCTCTCCTCTCTAGGATGCATATGGCATCATTGTACATATTTTGACAATAGGCAAAGAGATGCCTTTTTTTGCAGAGGCTCTTGTGAGATGGAAGTTGACATCAGAATATACATTCCATTACACTGTTGTTTTATTTTGTGATTGCTGCTGATTCAGGTTAATTTATGGCCTTGTAATGTTTATGAATTTCATTGTTTGTTGTATTGAGTGGGATGTAACCTACCCTTGGACTCCATGATGGAGGGTGGACTTTAAATGTGTGTGTGTCAGTTAGTCTTTATTAGAAGTGTATTATGTTTCTACAAAGGCGTGGGCCTTTTCCTTGGAGATGCCACATGAAGACCTTTCTATTTCATACAATTGGAAGGGACCCTGAGGGCCACAGTAGTTGGTTTTTGGAATTGTATTCTGTTTTTAGCTTTCTTCTCTTCTCTTATTACATTTTCTTATGCTGATTTGTTGGTTTTAAATAGTATTTATATTGTACATGAATTAATTTTATTCATACTTTTGTTCATTGCTCACCGAAAACTTTTTATGAAGGTGGTTAACACATATTTTTACTGAATGAATGAATGAGCAACTATATATAAATGCTACAGAACATAGATATCCAGATAGTCAGAATTACACACAAGGCTTTTGATACTACACTATTACAGGATAAACTCATGGCACATCAGGTTATAGGATTGGGCTGACAGGTTGCAATTAGAACATTTTATTGCCACAGAAAGTCAATTTTGTTCCCTTGACCGTGTTTAATCATGTCCAATTCGAAGTGCAGTGCCTTGGTCTCATAATTCATGAGAATATGAAGTTTAAAGAGTTCAGTTTGAAGCACAGCTGGCAAAACTGATTGCTTGAAGTGTGTTAAAGTTTACTGTATTTGCATTTGAATTAATGGAAGGTGGTGTCCAGCAGGGTTTTATAGAAGGAGATTCTAAAGTGTTTGGCATGTGGTGATGTACTTGAGAAGTACTTGAACACACTAAATTGAGTATGATTCAAGGTTGTTTGTTAGCAGAGTTGAAGAGCTTTTAAAAAAGTAATGTGGTTATTTCATAGAGCAAGGTGTATAAAATTTTCATTTGTATGGGTTATAACTGTAGGCTGAAAACTGAAGACTATTGTAGATAAGTGTAGACTGAGGACTGAAATGTTTTCATTGTTACTGAACTTCCATGATCTCTTTAAATAATAAAGAACATAGGCAATGATCATTGACCTAGAAAAGCACATTAAAAATGAAAATTATTTGTTGGAATGCTTGGATGATGAAATCAGCACATCATCATGACTTCATTTCATGCAGGACCCATAATGTTTCACATTTTCCTACATGGTAGCAATTTTGAATAATCAAGGCTAATTGTAAAGGTTTAACCATATCTGGAAAAGTTGTTTGTTCTGCAAACTTTGGGGTGGTTCCATATAAGTAACCATACACAATTGCTGCAGATTTACTAGTGTTCTCCTCTGTAGCTTGCCAATGGGTGAACCATGTCCGCAGGCTGGGATGGTATAGAAGTGGACCTAAGGACTCCTGCTGAGTGAGGTGACTTATGAGTCATCTGAGTTCTCCTCAAGCCAACACTGGAACCTAGATGCAGGGGCCATGTCACAGGCATTTATAATTCATTTCATTGCCGGGGGCGGGGCAGCTCCAGGCACACATTCCTTGTCACAATCAGCTGCCCTCCACACTATACTTGAATAGGTAACCTTCATGTGCTTATTGGAGCCCCTGGACCTGCAAATGATTTCTGG